CAAAATTTCATCAAAGTATTGTTTGGTTGCCGCATACCTGCCAATAATGCGCAAACAAAGGTCACCGTCGACCCTATTTGCATAAAAATTGGTCAAAAATGATTTGTGCAGGCCACAACAAGGAAGTATGAACAAAGATGATTACGGTAGTTCGACCGAGAAGAGAAAATATTTCAGGTGGTCGCACGCTTTTCCTCCACTAGGATAGGTTGGGATTAACATATTTATCCTGGTGGAGCGGAAAGCCGATAATAGGGCTTAACCATATGGCGAACCACGGCCTCTCGTACGGTTACCATTCCATGTCGGGTATGGGATTAGTTAGTTATTTGTTTCCGAAGTATGGACTTGGTGGTGGAGGAAGCCGCAACCGACCAGCGATTACGTGAATCGCACAACGACGGCGAGGAGTTCAGCAATCCTCTAATGCAGTGGTTCTCAAACTTTTTAGAGTTGGGACCCACTATTTTTTACCACAACTTATGGCGACCCACCTAACTTTAATTTAATTTTCTTTTGTTTTTTTTATAACATAACACAGAACACATCAATGGCTAATCATCGCAAAACTACCTTCTTTCCTCGAAAAAAATGCCTGGCCTTTAAATAAGATAATAATTTGAAATTTGAAAATGATTTAAATTAAACCATACCCTTAAAAGAAATTTAAAATGTGTGCGAGAGGAAAGGTTCATTGACCTGAGGTAAGGTGAAGATGACACCACTATTCAAGATTGTGTGATGTCACAATCACAATTATGATATTTGTCACTTGATTTTTGTAAAGGAAATACAAATAAAACAATGGATGTCGGTTTTTATATAATGTTTGGTAAAAAAAAAGACCTCTCTCAAAAAACCATAGTGTTATTCTTTAAACGAAAATAAATCTAAATCTTGTCTAAATTTCGGGGAAACACGGTAACAAGTGATGTTCAGTGTTCAAAACTGCTATGCGTAAAAAAGCCACATTGTAATTCTTTCCCAGATTATAATTTAAATTCAATTTTTTTTTTTTTTAAGATTTACGTATTCGAGTCACCACCGATCCTAATATCCAGTATGATTAATCAAAGCATTCTACATCTATTCACGACTCACTAAAATTCCTTTTGCGACCCACCAGTGGGTCGCGACCCATAATTTGGGAACCGCTGCTAATGTAACTGCTGGTCGGCTAAGGCTTCCTCCACGATCGAGTCCATGCATTTAGAACAAATAGATGGCTATCAAATTTCATAACAGTAATCGTAAGACTGGTAATCGTAATATCACTAATATTTTTGAGCCGTTTTAATTGAACTGCTTTCGTCTTCCACGAAAAAAAAAATTTGTTACCGTATGGCTATTATGAGCCAATAACTTCGACTAACTCATGAGCTATACAACTGGTACGAAGCAAATAATATTATATTTTAGGGGAAAATAAATAAATTGCAAGAAATATAAGCTGGCAAAAATCGTATAAAAAATTGTTAATGGTGTTTTAGACGGGTTTTTCACTGTTTTTAAGCGTTTTAGCAGGGTTATTGGTGATTTTAGACGGTTTTCACTGTTTTTTGGCCGTTTTAGCTGGGTTATTGGTGTTTTTTAGACGGTTTTTCACTGTTTTTAGTTAAGCGTTTTAGCAGGGTTATTGGGTGATTTTAAACGGTTTTTCCACTGTTTTTAATTAAACCAATAGTTGGAAATTATTTCCATACGCACGAACAATTATTTTCCCGTGTGGGATGAATTTTGAATGCATGAAAAAGTTTCTGCTATTTTTTGTTATTATTAATAATCTATTATTATTATGACTCATTACTTATCGATCTTAAGATCGGTAAGTATATTGATAGGTATTTGTCTGGCATGTCTGTTGTCTGTTAGATGAAAGCGATATCTCGCGAATGCGAGATTGAATCTGCTCCAAATTTTGCATGTGCATTCATCTTATCTCGGACCAGAAACCTATTGATTTTTGGGCGAATTATGTCGTAATAATTAGCGAGTTATCAATCAATTATTGATATAGTGATCTAGATTTTTGTAAAGCGAGAGAATTTTGAGACCCGCCGAGTGTGTTGTGTGCGATGCGCAGTGTGCAAGTTACAAGAGCGGATGAATCGAAACTGCAGTTTCTGTTTTGGGGAATCCCCTAACTATCGATCGATAAGTCTTCGGTTTCCAACCGATATTCTCGTTAGGTATATTGGCACTGGAATTCTCTTTGGCAAATAAAAAAATAATAATAACTCAGTGTCGCAGGTGTTTTTTTCGTTGAAGGCCGCTTTGTTACTTCAAATTGAGACTGCGTCTTACTTACAGACCTATGGTCTCTTTGAAGTTTGTATTACTCGCTTTGTACTCGTACAGTGTCCGGTACATGTTACCGCCGGTACCGGTATGACCCCTTTACCTTTGTGGTGCATTGTTTGCATTTCAGCATAGTCCAATGGCAATTGTTCAGTTTGTAGAATTGTATAGGTACCGTACCGGTACGTACTGGTAACCTGTATGTTGTATGTGTGTTATAAGTATAAGTTTATTTCGACTCCATAATCAGCACTAGACGATAAAAAAATAAATAAAAATAAAAGTAACTGATTATAGAACCGGGAAAGCAAACAAAACCTAGAGTAAGGTTTGAAACGAACAGATTTTAGATGGAAAGGTATTGATTGATAGAAGAAGTAGTACGTGTTTGCTCACGTGTTCGCTTACGTGTTCGCTTTTAATTAATCATTTTATTTCAGCTCTCTGACCTAAAACAGAACAACACGAAAAATACCGAAAACAGACAACAAATACAGAAATACATGGAAGGCGAGAATAACGTAAATTAAAAAACGTACAAATACGCGCCCACCCACCAAAAAATAAAATAATACGACTATACAAAAAATATGGACACGATTCAAAATCGGGCAAAGCTTATAACTCAATTTAAAATGATAAAAGACACATAATTCTGTAATTGTTGGAATCCGTGGATAATTTACATGGAGTAAAAAAGTGTTGCGCTTGAAATAAAACAGCAAGGTTCAGTTAAATAAAATTAAATGTAATAGAATAATAACGATCTCCTCAGTCTCTGAACCTAATGATTTAAATGTTCGTATACGATTATGATAGCTGAGAAATCGCCAGGATTAACCTTGCAGTAAATATATATAAATACAGCTGATCCTGAATGCTGTAAATTTTGGGGCTGGCAGTCTGGGATGCTGGGATGTTAATTCGTCTCGTGCAGACTTATATAACAGTACTGCAGTATAATGGTACCGGTACCAAATTTTTTAGTATAGACAATTTTGCATGGAGAAGAAGAATTTAGAAATTTATGATAATAATATAATTTAAATGAAATTAGACTATAAGTATAATGATAATATTAGTATATTATATTTTGTATATTTTGATTTTCCTTACTAATGTAAAAACAGAAGAACCACATATTCTATTGAATTGAAATTTGGAAAGTACAGTACTGAATGTTATTACTCTAGCATGATTGACAAAGGATAGAATTTACATATTTATTTCGGGGTAGGGGAGAGCCGATTGCGAGCCACAGCTTCTCGTCCAGTTACCAGTTCATGTCGGGTACCGGTATGGAATTGATTAGTCAGTTTGTCTCAGATGCGTGGACTTAGTGGAGGAGAAAGTTGAAGCGGCAGTTATTTGAACCACCCTATTACTGTATTCTGACCGAATTATATATTTGCAAGTGCTTGTTCTAGTTTCACTGAATTTAACAAATCTCAAATTACAGAATTAAAATCTAATCGATTTTCCATACTACTGTTCTAAGCTATCAGCACTTATCCTTGTATTGAAAATATTTTCCTAAATTCGAGCTGTTAATTCTACTTAAAATTGTCGGGGGAATTGTTACCGATTCACAGACAGATTGAAGTTTTGAATCTGGTTTAGTTGGATTCTAACTATTGAGGCATGACTGGTCAGAATATTCTCATTCTAATTTAAAGGTGATTGTGCTGCTATTTCTAACCTCTTGGTTTTTCATGTTAGGATAAGGTCGAATCACGGTAAAGTTGACTAGCACTGAACAAGTCTAAAATCAGAGGAATTATTACCAGTTTGAAGACTGATTTAAGTTTTAATTTCGGTCTAGTGTGATTCAACCCAAAAACCTGATGATAGTTATTGAGGCATGGCTGGCCAGAATATTCTAATCTTAATATATCAGTTATTGTACTGCTATTTCTACGATATTAACCTTTTGGTTTTTCATGTTAGGTCAAGGTCAAATCTTAGTAAAGTTGTTTATAACTGAACAAATCCAAAATCCTTTTAATCATATAGAAATCTATCTCAGCACAAAACTTTTGTTAACCTATGGAGCAGCACCCTTGTTTTTCAAAAAAGCTTAGTAAAAATTGCCGGCTTGCCTCTTTCATTTTCTAGTAGATATCATTGTTTAGTTTATATAAAGTATTTAGGTGTTATTCATTAGTAGATGTTGTTCATTCATGTGAGCATATCCTTGTGTTATAAATATTACAAATTTTTTTTATTATTGGGAATTACTGTATTAGAGTATGCTTAGCCTATCGTTTTTCCTATGCAATGTAGGCAGAAACACTGTACGTTCTGTTGAGAATGGGACAAGTTAATTTAGGCAGGTTTCATTTCTTGGTGTCATTGCGACTCATATTTATCCATTTCACTGTTGTTTATGAACTCTGTTATTATTACTTTTACAAGACATTGTGACTCGAATGTGAATTTCGAATGACCTGTGACTCGACTTGAAACGCGACTTCTACTCGACACTGGGTTACATATTTGGGAAAGGGAATCATTGAAGAATGACTGGTCAGAATAATCCCAATACTTATGTGTCAGAGTGCTGTTGCCGCAATTTTCTAGTTTCCCATGTTGTCTTAGGTCAAATCGTAAGTTGAACAGTTCAGGGTTTTATGTTTGTCCTAAGTATGATACAAATTAAACCTGAAGACTGTTTTCTATTTTCAGAATCTAATCTTTAAAATTTATTAACGCTGGCTTTGGTGATATTTCGTATTCTCAATTTCATTGCTGCAAGTTTTTTCATTTTGTCAGCATTTGTACAATACAATGACCCAGATCCTGAGCTATGGATTCCAGTATATCTGGCTCCTGCTATCATTTCTGAATTAATTGGTTTTAAGCCATCGCTATCTGAATCAAAAATTCATAAAAGTTTTTGACTTTGGATATATTTTCTTTGGAACTATTTTATCTGCCTATTTGTTCCATCAAAACTATCAGGACAATTTCATCCACTGGGTGGTGCATGATGAAGTGGGGAGGGAGTTTGGTGGACTTGTGATCGTTATATTTTGAATTATTTTTATGCACGAAACATCACATTTATCTGTGAAGAATTGGCTATCGTCGGTTTTTATATGGATTCCGATTGCAATGTGGATTTATGTTTATAACAATCAGGAATGTCGTGAACTTTGGCCTCAACATTGCCAGACTGCTCTTTATCCAGAAAGTTATCCTCCAAGAGAGGAAAGCTGATAAGACATTTTGACAATTTTTATCATAAGAAAATTTTACTAAGTAAGGTCATGCACACAAAGTCAAAAGAAAAAGAGGTATTTTTAGATAAGTTACAGGCGACCACAGAAGTGTCAAGAGCTGTTGAAATGGTAAAGATTTATATTGAATAACTAGGTTTTAGTAAATACCGAATGACACAAGGCTTGAAGGAGCTCAATATAACTAGAAAAACAGTTGATAAATTGGTGTGTACTAATACCGACGTCCCACAGGTTATTATAAATCTGCCACTACTTTAGAACATATATTCGAATGTCCTATAAACCAGCATGGTCCCGAAAGCCGGGCCTGAAAAGTCAGTAAATCATAATGAAGCCATGATTGAACATTTTACTACTTGATTTTTAGGATAGAATAAGATTTACATATTTATTCGCTTATAAAAGTCGGTAATATCGCCGGATGAGAACAGAACAGGCCTAAGTCACATTTTTGAGTTTTGAGAAAATCGCAAAAAACAGTTTTGAATTTTATCATAGTTGAATATCTAGTTATGTATTCTCAGTGAAGATCTGAGCTTTGGCTAGGATAAGGTCCCTGATAATAGCTTTTTAATCAACATCTTTTGGCACTTCAACTTCGATTCGTTTTCATTTTTTACCCCCCTAAAGACATTTGGCCTATTCTGTTCTCAGTGATAATTGACGGACTTAGGCCCTTTCTGTCACCCATTGGTTCTTAGGCCCAATATACACTACACAAATTCCTATAATTGTGACTTAGGTCTGTTGGCCTAACCTATCTCTGCTTGCTAATGCCAGTATGCCCCAGTTTCACAGCAGCCTTGTTGTTGTTTTTGTCTTGTGTATTGAATCAAAACAACAGAACAACTAACGAACTACAAAATTAGATCAATTTTGAATGTGAAGTTTTCAAAAACGGAATAAAAAAGAAACTGAATATGAAAAATCAAAAAACAATTCAAAGGGTTTGAAACCCTGTGTCTTTAAAACTGGTGAATCGATCTAAATGGAGGAAGATTCATCATCACTGTCTGATTCATCTGTTTCATCATTTTGAATGGTGAGACTCTCGTAGAACGTATGGTATTGTGGTGGAATGAGATTTTTTTTACACAGCTTCATTAAGGCACCATATTTTTCCATTGTAATTCCCGGTTTTTTTTTGTAGCTTCGCCTCATTTCATTCATCCTGGGTAACATATCCAGGGTTCCTGAAATTCTTCGACTCAACCTCACTTTTTTTATGAATGAAACTTCCTGATATCCTTCTTCTGCATAAAGGTACTTGAAGAAAAACTTATCAGGTTTTTCACCAGAAAACTTGGCCTGCATGATCTTAGACCATTTGATCTTTGATCCATTCACTTTTAGGTTTGATTTGTAAACGTCTTGAAACATGGTGAGTTTTTCTCCAAATTTGAAATCCAAGATATCACTATGGGACATTCTAGTCATAGTTATATTTCTATTTTATTCCCTTTAGTCAATGCTTGTACGATGACAGATTCCCACTGATCAGTCGTAAAGGTATGCAGCCGTTTTGACTCTTTTTCGATAGAGAATGTGCCACAGTCATTCTCGTTTTGGCTATGCCCTGTAACAAAAAAGCTTAACGTTATATCTGAAAATCCAAACCAATTAAGGGCAAGGGATAGCATGATGTATACCATGCGGTTGCAATTTTGTCCTGCGCATCTGTCACAAAAAAGGTACACACTCTTCACGCCCTTTTTTTGTAAAAACTTCAAGTAGAGCAACAGTGCAGACGCCACCTCATTTGAACCCTTTTTTGCTTCTTCCTCATTCCACAAGTAACAATGAACTTCTTTAAAAGACGAGATGTCCGAAACTGTGAAGTTGTAGTTTCGCAGTCTCATGCTATAGTAAAATGAAGAACTCTCTCCTGCAGGTGCCAGGAGTGTTTTTTTGAAAGTCAAATGCTGATGCTTGAATATGGCTATTGTCTTGTGCTTTTTCTTTTATTTGTGCTTTGAACACCCTGCTCAAGTTCTTTTCTTGATCATGTTCTGCCTTTGATTTTACTATTTCTGTAGTTCTTAATGAATCTTTTGTATTGTCCCATGCATCACATATGTCACATCGATCCTTTTTGGGTTGATGAAATTTTATATTAAAATTATCATGAAAAATGGACAAGTAAGCTTCGTATTTCAAGGGATTCTCAATGTTATTTTCTGCACAGAATCGTATGTACATACGGTGCATAGTAGCCACATCTAATGTTGGAGGCAAATATTGATATTTAGACTCCTTTCGAACATAGTGACTTTGAACTGTCTTAAACATACAAATATGTTCGATTACCTTTTCCACTTTTTTTGGATCAAATCTGTTATGGGGTACAGTTATACCACGCATATCATTTTCAACACTTCCAATAAATTCTTTTGATAATGCTGTTCTAACTTGTTTTCTTGAAACATCAAGAGTTGTGAGGAAAAATGTCTGACAAACCTCAAACTGATCTCCACTTTCCTTCTGAAGAAAATATTTGAAACTAACATCTCTTTTTTTGCGTCTGACTTTAATATCTGGTCTCAATCTGCTTCTTTTAATTTTGCATTTTTCAATCATTTTCGTAATATAAATTCTTTTTGACAATATGTTATCTAATTTCCAATAATTTTCAAATAAACTTCTCTGTCCTTGGCAGAAAATATTTCATTGCACTTTTTTTTACATGAACTAGAACATGTTTTCTTTATTTCTCTTTTAGGCATCAATCTAATTTCTTTATTTTTTGTTCTGTATTGGTAAGACTGTCCATGCATTCGAGCTTCCTTCCTAATATTTCTCTGCCACTTGGAGATATTTCTTTTTCTTTTTCTTTCTGTCAAAGGAGTAGGTGTCATCCAGTCTGTTGAACACTGTTCATTAACCTGATTTTCTGTTTGGTCGCAAAGCTTATTTATGTCACACAGATTCCATGTGATGGCAGTACCTTCCTTGTGTTCTACAAGGTTAAAATATGGCCAATGGATCGCAGTTTGGAACACTTTAGTTATAAAAAAACTTCCTTGTCTATCCTCACAGTGAACACTTCTACACTTTGCTTTGAATATGGGATATCTTTCATAGCATAGAATTACTTCTTCACTTTCGACAACTGAAATGTCAACCTGGTGCTGTACTGTGGAATTTGATTTATCACTGTCAGATTCATTGTTTTGAGCCGTCCAATAACATGGCATAGACTGAGACTTTTCCTTCTCATAATTATAAGTTGGATCTTTATCTGAATCATCATTATAATATTCAAAAGATTTCATCTGATAAATTTTCTTCCTGGTCTTCGTTTTTGAGAATTTTGAGCTTCAACAAAGACAAAATCTTTTCCTCATCATCGATATCAAGTTTTAAAGCATTTTTTTGGAACTGAAGTTGTTTGATTGTCAATAAAAAATTTGACTCGAACAGTGTTGGAGTAGACGCAAATTATCACTCCTTTTTAACAGCGTCTTATCTTTATATGGTAAACTATTACTGTATTCACGCTGTTCATTATCGAAATATGTAGCAGGGAGATAAACTTCTTTTCCTGTTTGCAGAATCTGACTCTCAGTGCTATCCCAACTTCGTGTGCCACAGGGGAATTCAGATTCAGGACCTAACATTGCTTCACTGATAAATTGTATATAGCTTTGGGAAAAATTAAACATACAAGATTACTAAGTAGAACACAATTTAATACATACACGATGACTAAATAGCACACAATTTAATATTTATAATCTTTAAATTATTATGCAGTTATACTTAAAGCCTGCTATTCAATATACCAAGGCTCCTATCCCATTTAATATCTAACTTTCCAGGGTAAGCTACCTCTAGTAACCTGTTTCCTGTAGCACATGCTCATAAGTATAACTGCAATATGCTTTATCAGTTGTCTTCATCACAATGAATAATTTGTTTCAGCCAATCAGGACAATCATATTTATTTTTTCATGTTCTTTGGGACTACTTGATTCTAAACTTTGCCATAGAATGGGCCTATGTTCATTTTGACAGTAAATATGTGGGACTGAAAGGGCCTAAGTCCAGCATATTGGACATAGGCCTGTTCTGTTCTCAACACCTCTATGATTATAGCATTCCTAAGTCCAGCTAAAATTTTTATTATTGAGAAATTCAGGATTTCAAGACCACCATCTTGTAGAGCATGGCTCAAAACCCCAAAATATTGAAAAAAGTGAATTTTGCAAAAATGTGACTTAGGCCCCTTCTGTTCTCATCCGGCGATATGGCTCAATCATATGGACCAGAGCGTCTAGTCCGGTTACAAGACCATGTCGGGTGTGGGATTAGTCAGCCAGTTATTCATTTTCAGATGCATGAACTTGATGGTGGATGAAGGCAAAACCGACCAGTGGTTAATGTACGTGAACCACCCTACGGCCGTGAGGAGTCCAGCAATCCTATCGCATATAATTATCCCTCACGAAGGATTCGAACCTGCGCTCTTGTGCTAGGTAATCGAAGGTGCGGTGGCGGGCATATTACCAATATTGAGCCTGATGCGATACATTGTCCTGTTCTCTCTTAATTTAATTTTACGACAAAAAGTAAGACTTTAGTTTGAGAGAAATTAGCTATACATTTTAAATTGTATTCTGAACACCTATGACAAATTCTACATGGCTATTTATAACTGTTTTATTCCTGTCATATTTAGCTTTGAATTACAGAGTCAATAGTTAGAAATATCAGTGAAATGCCTCTCGAAATTAAAGTGAAGACTAATGGACATGCAAATAGGATTTTACAAGACTTGAACAGGTGAGTGTGAGACAGGGATATCTAAAATGATGGGGTTAAAGCCCAACTCGGCGAACTATGTGATGCTGTCCGAAACCGGCCTGTTTGGTAATTCAATCTGGCCTGCCTGATGCTGCCACAACCAAACAAACAAATTTCGTTGTTTCAGCTAAAAAAGAGCTTAAGGGTTCGGGGTTGTATTGTCATTCTTAGGGAGGAATTCTGCCATTTTTATGAAAAAGATTTGGAACCACTGGGTTAAAGCATTGGAAATTACTGTATTGGCATTGCAGGTAACACAGTTTGGATTCAAATCTCATTTGATATATCTAATTTTAATTTCAGGAATGATTTAAAACTGTTTATATGAAAATTTTATTGATTTGACATTTGATGGTGAGACAAACACTTCATTTATATACGGTAATACCGGATTTTCCATCTAAGACCTTACCATCAGTGTTTATATTTGCCACGTTTAATATTAAAAAGCCAACAAACAAATGAGTAGATGTATTACTGTTAAAGAAATGATCATGCCGGTCCTTTCACACAAAAATAATATGGTCATCGCGACTGGCACCATGTGATGGCTTTTGCATGTACTACTCTTCAACAAGCCTCATGAGCCTCTTGGACAAGAACAAGAGTCCATTCTTGACAAACTCAGATATAAACTATTCTTTCCTGCTTACCACATATCCTCGCATATGAGTCGATCCCCTAAAAACACCCTTAAAGTGGAGAATTATAAAAAATTCACATATAAGCCAACACTACAAATCGTAGAAGGCTATACGCACCTATCACAACCAGGGATGTTCAATTTGACTTTAATATTCAATATGGCTATTCGCTACCTTCAGAATATCATTTTCAGTGAAAATTGATATCGCGCACACATCCTAGCACCCTCCGTCCACGTTGTGATTGAAAACATTTTTCGATTATGACTTATTCTAATAAGTAAACAAATAGCTCGTGGAGCCCCTAGGTTTCTCAGAGCCATGGGCACTTTGAGAACCTATGTTCTAGTGAACATATTTATCGGATGGTTTCACGTCTTCTTTGCAAACATGACTCTAGCTCAGGGGTGGGTAAGGTTTTTAACCAGGGGCCAAAAATTTTACCTACCGAGACTGGCGGGTCAAGTAAGTGTGACTTCCATTTTATGAACAATATTTGCAGTGTTACAAACTCAAAATTGGAAAACAATAAGCCTCGTGCCAAAACTGAATTTATTTTGAACAATTCCTTGAGCTATTTTTTAGCTAAAACATCAAAATTTGGTTTATGTTTGGTTGTGGCAGCATCAGGCTGGCCAGATTGAATTACCCAATGGGCTGTAGTTATCCTATGCCAGCTCTAGCTAATCAGTCAGAATATAGAAGCAGCTATTATGTTGTTGCTAGGTTCATTCTGGTTTGGGATATGACTTATTTATCTATAAGATATCCTGGGTTAAGTGGGTGTGAGTTGTCACCCGAGACCCAGTGTTCACTCCAAGAAAATTATGAGTGTGTGCATTTCTCACAATCCAGAAACTAAAAAAGTCAAATCTTTCCTAACTGTTTTAATAACATTATATTATTGAAATCTTGCATGCTGCAAAGTTTCTGATTTTATTGTTTGGAGATAAAGTCAATTAAAATTAACATGCAACTCCGGTTTCTGGTGTTCACTTTGAAAAATTATGAGTAGCAGAAAAACTGAAATTCTGTTTTCTGGTTTGATTTACCAAAAAAAATTTGGTTTCTTAGGAGTGCCAAAAAATGAAGTGCAAACGTCTGGTTACTAGTTTAATTTAATGAACCTTGGGTTTCTGGTGCTGAAAAAAATCTGTTGTGTAAAGGAACTGAAGCCTATGGGCAGGCGTATATTCGCTTGGCTAACACAGACAATCCCCAAACTCGTAATTGAACTAAAATGAGGAAAATCGGAATCTGGTACACAAACTTTTTGTTATAACCTATTTTAAACAGCATAGGTACTCTATTATTTCCACTTCTCTCATACCTTTGCTTTATGATATCTGGGCAATCATAAATTCCTAAAAAATTACGGTCCATAAATTCTACCACTATTATTAGCAGATGTCATAAGATTTGTATACCCTGGCTGCTAGTTCCCACAATTCCTTAACACGACTGGGCGCAAATAAAATCTGTCACTATTTTCACCGGATGTCATATCCAGCCTGAATGTCATAAGATCTATTTAACCTGTTTTTGCCACATTTGTGTAGCCTTTTTTTCTACAAGTCATAAAACCATTGTAAAAATATGACTGCTGACTGAATGATATCTTTTACTCAAATTGTATTTTTTTCTATTTTTTTTTGGCAGACATTTCGGTGTGAGTAGTTTTGCTTTAGAAATTTAACAAAAAGTACGTCTTTGCTTGCCATTATGACCAATCAAAATTCCCTAAATTTCATGTTATATGCTTGCCAAATTGGTTGAAATAGAGCCATATCGATCGATCAGAAATGACGTAACGTCCCCAACAAGATCTTACGACGTAAATATATTACCGTTCGTTCCAACAAAGCTCTGCACAGGCTGACACTGTTATTTGGGAAGCTACTTTATTTTGAAAAGATCGGATTATATACTTGCGCATTGCCCTCTTGTTGAATGGCAAAGAGGCAGCTGAGATGCGCGGTTCGAGTGACGTCATCTCACGGTACTCCCGTAGTATGTAAACCAAGATGGCGGACACCGGAACGTAGTATGTGTACCAGGTTAGGGTAAGTCCATAATTTCAGTTACAAATACTACGGGAGTCACTTGGTTGGTCCCGTAATAGAACTGGAATAAAATTATGGCCTAAGCCTAACTTGGTACACATACAACGTCCACGGGTGTTCGAGCGCCGCCATAGTTTTGAATTTTTCGGTCAAGTTAGTGGCTCCAACTTTTAACCATCTAATTCTTTTTCCAGACTTTTAATTTCTCATACCTCATACAAATATCTTCATACAAATAAAATCCGTAGGCATCCTATAATTTTTTCAATTTTGATTTCCTTGTATGAAATTGAAGTTTCAATTTTACAATCTAAAAGTCCCTATAACACAGATTTAACTCTCGCATAACTGTATCTGGATTAATGTGTCATGTAGTGCTCATACCTAAAAACCATCAGTTACTAAGCTCAGAAGCCAAAAATAAACCAGCAGACCTTGAGTCACATTTGATATATTGTAGCTTCGTAATTAGAGCTAGAACCATAGTGATTTCAAATCAGCTCCCCAGCCCTGTATTAAAACTTGAAAATTCACAGAAGGATTTTCTGTGCGGAATTGAAAACACATTTAGTACAATGCTGATTTAAAATTTAATTTTGCAGAAGCAGAAAGGAAACTCGAGATCATTGTGATTTTATGATCATAGCTGGCTCTGAAGAAATCCCAGTTCATAAGAATATTATATCTGTAGGATCTGATTATTTCAAAGCAATGCTGGCTCATAATGTAAGTTGTGTTTATGTGTTATCTCAGCCATAAACTGTTTGAGTTAGCTAACTCTTTCACAGTTAGTACTGTTACCCTTGTTAATGTGTTTTTAATCGTTGGCATATCATACTTCAGAATGCTGAGACAGCGTCTGGTAAAGTGGAAATGAAAGAAGTTGATCCATTATCCCTGCAACAATGCATAGAATACATTTACACTGGTGAATTGTCTACTACTGATGAAAATGCTGAATCTTTGATGTTTGTGGCTGAATTACTGCAGTTGAAAGGTGATGATATAAAGTAGATCCTTCTTCTGGACTGTACAGAGATTCACTCAATCCTCTGTGATTGAAAATACCTAGACAATCTCCCACAAATAAAGCTATTTGGTTTGCTTGGGCCTGAATTTCTATAGTTGTCCTGGCCAGTTTCTCACTGAACGGAAGACCTGTTTGTTTCTGATTTCATTCAGCTTGTTAATCAATCTGTAATATCTGTTATTAAGTTTTATTCATGCCAACCAGCAACCACTAAAAAAAAAACAGAAGCCATATATCACTGAAATCATTCACCAAAATTTATTTAACGCTTGAACTTTGTTTATGTATGATTGTACCCAAAAGTTTTAGTAATCCAGGATGCTTCGAGGCGCAAAAGTTATGTTCTCTCTAAAAATATGTCTTAATTTAATATGGGTTCTGTTTTGAAAATTTGTAAGAGGTGTGAGGACTGGGAATTTGTGTGGAACAAATCAAAATGGATGTGTGCTTGCCCATAGATAAATGTATACTTACATATAATATATATGTTTGCTTTATGATAACAGATGTCTGTGAAGGCATCGTTGATTCACTTGAAGAAAATCTCGAATCGTCTTCGGAATCATTCTTTGTGACAAAAATCGCAAACCTGTACAATTACAAAGAATTGATGGAAAAATGCGAAAAATTCATGCTGGATAAATTTGATGAAATTGCAGTTCTTGATGAGTTCAAGGAAATAGAGGAAAAGGAATTTGTAAGATTGATGAAGTCACAAGAAAACAAGGTATATTTAGTTTTTTGTTTGTTTCACTCCTTCATTCTGAACAAAACCTCGTACCTCAAGTAGCCACTCTTTTAGCGGGGTTTTGGATTCAAGCTGACCAAAATAAACTTACTATGATTAAATACAGCCACTCATTCGTGCATAACCGACCCTAATTCCTACTTGGCTTTGGATGATATAATAGAGCTGAACAAATAGACCCGGACTCTTGATGTCAACATATCTGTTTCAGCTAGCTAACCACGGACTTGTTTATCCTATCAATATTTGAGCAATTAATTTAAGCACCCCACTATCTCAGTTTAAAGCATGAGTGCTAAGCATTTGTCGCTAAATGTAAGATATTGTTTTATATTTACATATTCTGTATTCTTTCTTTGCGTTTCCTTTCTAGGCATCAGAGAGTGTCAAGATAGAGGCTTTGATATCTTGGATAAAATATGAACAAAGAAATCGCAAAAAAATTCTGAAGCAATTGAACAACTACATTGATTTGCATAAAGTACCGGTGACTTACAGAAGATTCCTTGTTGAAAACGAGGTAGGGTATATTTAAATTGATGATATTGAAACATTCATTTCACAACAGATAAGTGACTTCAAGTATATTATTAGGATTTTATCTGACTAAGTGCTCAGGTGGAGACAAGACTAAATTTTCTTCAACCCAGAATTGGAGTAGTTTTCAAATGAGATTGGGATCGAGTGTAGACTTTACAGTCCTACTAATGATTCATTGACATTATTCTATATTTCTGCAAAAACTATTTTTCTTACATCATTCAATATTCATTGAATTAACTCATTTTGATTATTTCAGCCAATGGTGAAGTCATGCTTTGAATGCTATCAAGCTCTATGCATTTCCATGTTGGACAGCCTTAATATTGGTGCCTCAAATGTTCATTCTGCGGAGAATATAAAACAAGAACGAAAGGAAGCAAGTGAGTTGAATTTAATTTTGGAGAATATAGATAATCTTTCGTCATTTAAAACTTAGAAACTTACCCAACTGTAGATTAGTTCTAACTTGAACGATGCTATAGTCGACTGTCTTTGTTTTTCTTTTTTGATACAAACTTTATTTCTTACAGTTGTGGTGTTTGATGACAACTCAAAGAGCCTTCAATGCTTTGATCCTCGGAATAATACTTGGACAAAAATGCAGGTTGGTATTGGATAACCTTCATCTCGGGTATATTTGTCTAATCGTACTATACATCGAAAATATTTCACATTAATCTCCATTATTACTCAGATGGTAAAAAGTAATGCTAGAAGCTTTTGTTTTTCTGCGATTGGATTCCAAGATGTGGTTGGGATAGTTCGCTTTGAACTAAAGCAAGCCCACATTTAAAAATGACATGTCTTTGCATAAGCTCTGAGATATTTGAATGTAAATGAGAAAATAGGTGAAGCTAGCTCATTAAACAGGGGAGGATTTTCCAAGGAATCTTGCATAATATTTCGGAGGCCATGTAAGTCAACATATCTTTTAGAACAGTGTTTTTCAACCGGGTTGCCGCGGCACACTGGTGTGCCGTAAACTATAGTCAGGGGTGCCGTGGGAAATTTTCCAATTTGTACGTTCATGCGATGTAGCGCCCGGCAGAGTAATCGTGTAGTACTGTTCTATACGTGAAGGTTACATTACATCATCGCTTATATTAACAATTTAACACTTATATTGTGAACATCAGGTCTTTTCCCCACATTTTCAGCTGGTGGTGTGCGGCAGTATTTTCTCAACGAAAAAAGTGTGCCTTGGCTCGAAAAAAGTTGAAAAACACTGTCTTAGAACAGCGGGTGTCGGCTTTCAAAGTGATTTAAAGTGACAAATTAATAATTATTCGATTAGGGTTAGGGTCAGGGATAGATTGAAAAGTTGAATTTTCAGCGCAATTTGCATTCCTAGCCCTAATTGGATTAGTGCGAGATTAGTTTTTGACCCGATGGTGGAGGAAGCCGTAACCGACCAGCGGTTACGTGAACCACCATACGGAGGCGATGAGCCCAGTAGAGAGAGAGAGAGATTTTTTTTATATCATAAACAATGTCAACACTATAAAACAGGGTGGTCCAAACCGCGGCCCGTGAACATATTCTGTGCGACCCGCTGAACAATTTGAGTTATTTTTAAACTATTCCAACTGGGGAAATTTCTGGAATGATGTTTATTAAGATCACGGAATTTTAATGTTGTATCTATAAACGTGAAGACGGTTCCAATATGGGAATGACGACCCTTGATCGGTACAAGGAGAATAAATTGTCTTGTGCAGACAGGACCAAACCGATTAGATGAGTCGTGCTTTTTATCAAATCTTCGTACCTTATGCTCGCGTCAAGTAACATTTGTAGAGGTGCTTTGTGTCTTTATTTTAGTAAAATCACTCTTCTATTTTCAAGCGTTGGCCAAGATACCAAAAATACCACTGCATTTCTCGGGAAGCAATTTCAAAATAGCTGAAGGCTTTATATATCTTCCTTAAAAAAATTGATTAAAACTAAAGTGAGTAAACTTGCGATATTTTTATCACTTTTGAGTTTTCTCCGAATGCGGACCACCAGACACCCCTAAAAGTTTTTGCGACCCTCCAACCTCGCACCCCCCTGCTGTAATACATTTAAGCAACACAAAATAAAATATAATTTAACCATAAATAATTGGTTGATCATTATTTGTGAGGGTCAGTATGCAAGACCAGTTAGGTCACCGAGGCTCCTGGCCCTTGCTGTATATAAGTAATCAATAAAATAGAGCTGTGAAGTCCAGTAATCCTCTTGCACATAATCATCCTGGCATGGAGTTGGAGCCTGAGATGTGCCACACGTGGCACGATGGACGATTAAGACAATTATTTAAGCGGGATTAGATTTGCTCATCCCGCCACACTCATTTATCTTTTTCTACATTTGACAACGATTTCTTCAATGTAATATTGTTTATTGAAATTTTTTAGAACATGCCTGGATCAGGAACAGACTTTTCTGCTGTGGCTCTTGGTGACTACATTTATGTTCTCATGATTGATCGATCTGTTCATCGACTGAAATACTCAGATCATGAAGCTACTTGGGAGAGAATGAATGATATGATGTATGACCATGGGCAGTGTCCTCCAGTTGCTGTTTTGTTTGGTAGGAATTGTTTCTTTTGCTGAACGATATCTTGTTACCTCTGCCAAACGGCTAGTAATTGAGTTTTTCAAATATCCTGTTGCTGTTTTTTTTGGAGTGAAGTTACCTCAAGAATTCTTAGTATTGGTCTGTTTGAGAATTCAAAGAAAAACAAATTTTTGAGAGCATTTGGTATCTAATTCCAGTTCAGCCCAGTATTGTAACTATATCACTTCATTGTGGATGACACAAAATTTTGTGCGCAAAATAGTGATAATTTTTTTCTGATTTGTAAAACTTGTCTCGTAATTAAAGTGTACAAATACAAATATATTTTCATATTAACACCATTGAAGAATTATAACGCAATCTATCTTTGTAAGAAATAGTAGTTGCTTCGTAAGATCATATATTTGAGTTCAGACAAGACAAGATATAAATGCTAAGACAAAAATTGCCAAAATAGTTTGGATTGAGTTACTTTGCTAAAACACGCAGATCCGGACTTTAAAGACCAAAGGACTTGAGTTTATTATACAATACACTAACACTCCTGTTTTAAGATTACTAGTTACATGTTTGAATATATCTCATGAAGACTTATTTTTTAAGTGAATGTTTTGTCATTGTGTTATCTATTATTATGACATGATATGTTCTTTACTTTATCTTCTATTATTTTACAAGTATCATTTGCTTTCTATCATTGGTCTGAAATATAAATTGTTTACAGGAAACCTATACGTTGTTGGTCATTTAGATGATAACTCAAAATCAGTTGAAAAGTTCGATCCATCAAGCAACAAATGGGAAAAAGTAAAAGACAAAAATCTCAGCAGTCGTTTTTCAACAGCGCTGGGTGCTAGAGGTTAGAAGGTGTTGTTTAATAAATGTCATTTACGTTGAACTGGCTCGAAACAGGCAGTCATACAATAGGATAATAAATGGAATTGTCGCTGGACCATATAACCAACTTAAGAAATCTAGCTGAACCAATAAATGCTCTGTTTTACAGTAATAAAGGCATCGGACAAAACGGCGAAGTATTTAACACATTAAAAGGAGCCCATGGGACAAAACGGCGAAGTATTTAACACATTAAAAGGAGCCCATGTGGGCGACTATTTAAACATATACTGTCGGATTAACTCTTTATGCTTGATGGGGGAAAATCTAAGTGTTGACGAGGGCCACACTAGATAGCTTTGCGGTCACTAAATAGCTTTGCCTGTTGCAAACCGCTGGTCTAAACCAAACAGGAAAAATACCGTCTTTAACAGACCAGTAGGTTGTTTCGTATCCGTGGTTGCTTTTACAAAGTGTTCTTATGAAGCAAACTTGCTATACACTTCGGTAACTAAAAAATGATTGCCAACAGATATCGGATTTATCAGTTTGTCCTAAGTTTTCATCGAATACCAGAATGCAGAAAACGCTTGAAAGTAATAATCCTTGTTTAATTCCAGGTTGTATATACAGCATTGGTGGAGTAGTACCAGGTCATTGGACCAACCAAGTAGAAAGATTTGACCCCACATCATCAACTTGGTCATTTGTTGCATCTATGAATGAAGCAAAGCGATGTGTCGCAGCTGTTGAAAATGAAGGAAAAATATATGTTCTAGGTAGGTTGGTGCTTGTTGCTAAAAATGTACGAACCTCAAGAAAAAAATATTTAGTTTCACTTGAAATAGCAATTAACCAGAAATTTCAATGGTTCAATATATCAAATGCAATGCCATTATGTTTAAGCATCGTCATGAACTACTAATATTCCATTCATGTTATTCTGCAAGATCGCAGAATTATATTGTTATGTGGCAGATCATGTTCAAATGTTTGTATAATTATATATTTACACGAATGCAAAGGTCAATCCGATTGCCGGGCAACTTGTAAACTCATAAATACTTACGGTACTGTTGCGTCCTTCTTACTGGGAATATTAATTAGTTAGTGGTTGGAATTCCGGGTGATATTCAGACATACCAGGTTCCAAAATCTTCAGTTCAGGCTAGTTAAATTTTCCGCATTATATTTATCACCTTGCAGTTGTTACCTGCCATCTTGTTAGTTCATTATTCGCTTTTTATTTACTTATTGCTTTGTCTTGTATAGGTGAAATTGTCAATATATGGATAAACATTGTTTTGTATCATTTAGGCAAAATTGCAAGCAGATATAAACAAACTGTTTATTTTTATTCAGGTGGATATGCGAACAATCACTTGACAACTGTTGAACGATATGATATTTCAACGAACGTGTGGTCCACGGTAACTCCCATGTTAACGAAGCGGAGCTGGTTTAGTGCTTTTGTGATTGATTCAAATATTTACGCAATTGGAGGAAAGAACAGGTAGAGTTATTGAGATTTATTACAACATGGTAGGCACTAGGGCAGGGTTCCCAAGCTTTTCTCAGGACGACCCCAAAGACAACTTTCAAGTGTCCAGTGCGACCCCAGGTCAATATATATAATATTTATGTAACTTTAGAGATTCTGTCACTGGACTTTTGAGTTTGGTCATGTGGTGGTATCAAGTAAAATAAGCTAAAACATTTAAACTTTCGATTTTAATTAAAAATACCGAAATTACGAAAAAAAAAAAGTTTTAAAATTAAAAAATCTCTTTCATTGGGAATGGTCACTGTTTAATTTTAATCAATTTTCTGTATCTGGGGATGTATGATGTCAGGCAGCATACCAAAGAATTTTCCAAGGTAATGTTTGTTATGCGACTCCGATAATCACTTTTAATAAACTTTTACCATACCTCAGCGACCCCACCGACACCATGACCTGTTTGCGACTCTACCTACTTATCACTCCGATCCAATTTGGGGTCGCGACCCCTGGTTTGGGCACCCCTGCACTAGGGTCTTCTGTTTTGGAGATTTTGTTCTGAAATACTTATTCCCAAAGAAATATTTGTTCCCCTGTATTCATCACTATAAGTGTTGTACCAATCTAGTGTCCATATTGTCGATGCTCACAGAAATAAACTGAAATCTTTATATTTTTGTGAATATATTCATAACTTTGGATAGATAATCGCTTTTGGTTTGAGCTCTTTGTGCGGATAGAAGAAGCAGTATAATCATATTGCTGACTATGAAGTTTGAATCAGAGTCTGCCACCTACGGTAACCGGTCATTTTTACTTTTTTCGTCTTTAGTTACTGTAGAATTTAAAAATCTATTTTCAATGAGTAGCCTAACAACCACTTCACAAACCATTTGTCTTGCAGAACTGAAATAATCTTCTCTATATTTTTCAGTTCACCAGGAAGCATGGAGAAGTTTGATTTCAAGAAGAATCAATGGGAGATGATTGACATGAAAACATGAATCTGATACTCGATGCAGTGAAGATTAATTTGAAGTGATTTGATTGTATATGACAGAGAACAGTTCCTGTTACCATTTAAGGACATGCTAGGATATTATGTTTGTATTCTTACTATTATGGAATTGTATGATAGATATTTGACATTTAATAGGTGCTCGTGTTACTACTGAGTAAATTTTTTAAACTTCTATAATGATTTCTTGCATTACTTACCGTAATAATTTATATAGTTTTCTTAAATGTAATTACTCAATAACATTGCCTAGAAAACTTCAACTCACTGGACATAGCTATGTTTACTACTGATGTGAAGAATTTTTTTAAAATGATTTGTTTGTGTTATTAAATACCCTATATTTGTTTGTAGCATTTTTTATGTGAATTTCGATTATGACAGTGTGTAGTCGGACAGAATCGATGCCCATATAAAAAACGATTGTTGGTTGATGGACATTTTCACTCCTGCTCCCAACGACAGGAAAACAGAGTTTATAAATCTTACATTGGCCTCGACTCCTCAGCCCTGATTTGGCTTGCCTATCATTTAAAGTTAATTTTTGGCAAATGGAGTGGGATTCTATATCCTTTTTATGTAAAATTTGTCACCAAATACCATAGGTCATTGGAAGCGAGTGTTATATATAGCCAGTGGCCAGTAAAAATTAAATTGATTTATTATTTCTATTCAGTTTTTAATGCCATTCGATATTATCTGGGTATGAAATATTGTCTTGTGCATTCTTCAAGCGGTTTCTTCATCAATTGAATTCACTTATCATTTTGTAATTAAAAACAGTGAGTGACATGCAATTTATAAATTAGCAGATGCCTTTACTGCATAATATAATATATTCATTATATATTTTTCCTTCAAACAAACCTTTGCTAGTGCTATCTGCATAATACTTATATATTAAGTTGCATTCACGCCGTATGTATGTTGTGGTTTAAAATAATTTCGTCTTTGCTGTATATTTTATCGCATATATGCAATTAATACTTTACTACCATGCATCTAACGCTGAATTCAATTTTTCATTTTTAACTGATTTGAAAATCTGCCGGTTGGTATTTTTTATCACATATTTTGAATTTTTCTGTTTGATTCACTGCATTCCAATGTTCAAAGCTTACTTTGTGAGAGAGAACTTTGTTAAATAAACTAACGAATTTAATAATTTGTCGATTTCTTTTTGGAGGATTGCTTTGGTTTTCAGCGAAATTTGTTTCTTTAGTATCAAGTAGGAATTTATTGCTGTTGTACTTGGAAAAGACGATTGCACTTCGGAATTACAAATCAAAAATTTTACAAACTATTTACTTTTCCGAGATTAAAATAAGTTTCTAATATTTTTCAAATTCTATTTCTCCCATTTCATGAAGTCTGTACATGTGGTGGACTGATTCATACCTCGATTTCTACCCCGATGATTGCTTTATCTTTAAAAAGCTCGCAAAGTTGAAATGACATTTTAGCTTCCACTGTTTCATTCTCGAGGCCGTTTTCGAAACCTCACTGAAAACTACCAAATAACTTGAAATTAGGGTAACCATGCTTGAAAATCTGCCCCAATGTGAGATGCGATTGGTCAATTTCAACTATTACATCCATCGCCGTTGTTTATTGATTCTAGCAAATGAATTCAATAACCAGGAAGTCGATCTGGAAAACAAGCTGCCGCAATAACATATTCAATTACATACATAATATATCGTATATGCTCGTTTTAGCGCCCGATTGATTAAGGGCCCGTTTGAATAGCCGCCCGTGTGATTCAGATTCAGATTTTATTTTCGTCATGCAAAACCAATATACGATATGAAAAAATAAAAAAAGACATATAACAAATTACGAAGACAGATATCGGCTTCTTGCAATAGACGAGGGATCGCGAAAGACTCAAAGAGTCATCCAGTCAGCGACACCTTGTAGCTGCATTGAAGCAGCAAATATAGCAACCGAACAACTCAATATTAAATAGTCACTAAATTCGACACAATCGTATATATTAAAGGGACAACAAAAAGAATGCCACAATGACCACGAAAAGTTACCTAAACATTCACTTAATTAGCCTCAATCACAAAAAGGAACAACAAAGTTTGAAAAATAAAATACAGGATGTCATAATAACTATGGAGTATTAGATATTTACCTAATTAAACTCGATCATACAGAGTAAGAACAAAATAAAATCGAAATAAACACCGAGATACTACAATGATCACATCGTATTATATGACTTAACAGCGACATCTGTAAGAAGGATATGCCTCAATGACAACAAAGAATTGCGAAATAATGCTGACTAAGCATACACAGTAAACCAATATGGCGTGCCCAGCAACGGGCTTCTGGCTGCGAGAATCAATACCGTATTTAACGGATTTTTATGTTGAAAGCGATTGTTAGTGGCTATTAGAGTAGTGCAGAATAATTATGGGTTCTGCAGTATTCGTGGCATATAGGTTGGGCGGAAAATATTAAAACAAGAACAGTACACAGCGAGCACACAACTTGACGAACATGGATGGGAAAAGCAGCACCACAGGGATAGGGTACATACCATACGGTATACAAATATAATATTTCTAGACTAATTGCAACTGGGCTTATAAGCATCTAGGTATAGGCTCTTCAGTGCATGTTTATACAAGTTATAGGTACTGGTCCTAATGCTATTGGGGAGATTATTCCACAATTTAACACCAACAAACTTGATTGAGTTTTGGGTGAGTTTGGTGCTAAAACGATTTACATAATAAGAACTGCTAATAGAGGACCGTGTTCCATATGAGTGAACATTGCTTTGTTTTGAAAAATAGTTTGTGAACGCAGGAGGGAGTTTTTTGCAGTGGTGTTGGTGCATCAATTTCAAAACTTCTATTTTGTAAATGTCTGCCAATTTAATAATTTGAAGGTTATAATAAATAGGACTGAGTCGTGAAAAATAACTAGCGGCAGATATTGCACGGATTGCTCGGTTCTGCATAATTTCAATGCGATGTAATAATGTTTTAACAGCTGAACCCCAAGCAATTATGCCGTATTGGATATGGCTCTGGAATAAGGAGTAGTACACCATCCTTAGTGTTGTTGGTGATGTAAATCGTCTAAGCTTGTAAAGTATTCCAACCGATTTAGATAATTTAACGGATAATTTGGATAAGTGAACATCCCAATTCATTTTACTATCTAAATATATGCCAAGATATTTATAAGAATGGACATTTTCAAGTTCTTTGTCATCAATTTGTATTACTGTTTCATTTTTAGATTTGCACTGGTGTGGAGATATTAACATAGTTTTTGATTTGCCAATGTTCAGTGTTAGTTTATTAGACCGCATCCAATTTGATACTTTCGCAATTTCAGAATTTACTCTCAACTGAAGAACTGCACAAGATTTGTCGCTGTCGAGAAGATTGGTATCATCAGCAAACAATTTGGTAAAGAAGGAGGAACAACAAGTTATGTCATTTACATAGACTAGAAATAGAAGAGGACCCAAGCAACTACCTTGAGGAACTCCGTGAGTCACTGGTAAGGGAGAGGAAACACGACCCAACTTGAACATATTGTGATCTATTACTTAAATAACTAGAAATGAGTTTGTTTGCTGTACCCCTGATACCGAAATGTCTCAACTTGTAAATCAGGATGTTATGATTTACGGTATCGAAGGCCTTCCTTAGATCTAGGAATGTTGCACTGACAAACTCCTTCCTCTCTAGTTTATCGTAGATATATGATATTGTGTCTAAGATAGCATGTGATGTAGATAGATTATTTTGGAAGCCAAACTGTGATTTATTTATTACATCATGTTTCGTAAAAAAAGCATTGAGTCGCTTATGAATCAAACGCTCAAATATTTTACTTATTGATGAAAGAATTGAAATTGGTCTGTAATTTGACATACATTTTTTATTGCCAGATTTGAAAAGAGGGATCACTCGGGCAATTTTGAGACATGCAGGGAAGATTCCAAACAAAAGTGAACAATTGAAGAATTCAGCCAAACATGGTGCAATGAGATCAGCAACTAATTTAAGGAAACGTGCTGGTATGTTGTCTGGACCAACTGCCTTCCTGTCTTTCAAATTATGTATTTCTATTATCAATTCATTTGTAGTCGCTGGGCTCATGAAGATGGACTGGTTTATACAATTGTGAAGAAATTGTTTAAAGCTATCCTGTTCAGTGGAAAACTTGCCTGAAAGGCTAGACCCAATTGTAGAAAAATACTTATTAAATTCTGTAGCAATCAAAAGTTCATCTCTAATTATAGAGCCATTTTCAATATCGATCTCGTTAACTTTTTGATTAGATTTATTTTTTACATGAGTGATTTCGTTAACTGTTTGCCATGTTGACCTAGGATTACCTTTGTTTTTAGCAATAAGGTTTTGATAATAGGTTTGTTTTGAATCATCTATGGCTCTAATCAAAACATTTCTATACTTTTTGAAATAGGAGCGTTCGGAAGTGTTCCCTTTCAAAAAGTGGGATTCAAACATCTTATTTTTGTGGCGAATAGAAGCAAGCAGCCCTTTGGTTAGCCATGGTTTTGATCGTAGCCTTTTTTGACGACGTGAGAGTGGTCGAAGCGGGGCGTGGCGATCAATCAGGTGAACAAAAGATTTTACAAATTCGCTGAAAACACCATCAAAGTTTTGGGAACTCAAATTGTTTCTAGCAATATAATTATGAAAAATTACTTGTGTATCTGTGCGAAAGCAATCGATCGAGAATTTTGACATGTCCCTTGCTATTTTGACATAATTTGTATGGGCTGGTTTTATGCCACTGAGGCAACACATAACAGGAAAATGGTCTGTTATGTCTGAGAGAACTACATGAGATTTGATTCTAAAATTTGAAATATTAGTATAAATGTGATCTATAAGTGTTGATGATGTACTGCTCACTCTAGTAGGCTTAGTGATTAATGACTTGGCATTGTGAGAAATTAACATATCGGCATAATTTGCAATTTGGGCATTAGTTGACAATGTAAGTAAGTTAATGTTAAAATCTCCTAGTATCAAAAACTGTTTCTTTGCCAATTTAGCAAGAGATGCTTCAAATGCATTAGTAAAGCTTGGAATATTATTACGAGGATGCCTATATATAACACCAACAATTATCTTATTGACTGCGTTGGCCGAACTTATTTCAAACCATATATTTTCACAGTTGGAGTGATTGAGATTGTAATCTGAAATTTCATTATAGATGAGATCGTTTCGAATATAAGCACCAACACCACCTGCTTTTGTGATGGATGGCATGTGTATAAAGCTATACCCATCAATATTAGTGTTGGAAACAGGGTTACACGATAACTTTGATTCGCTTATCGCAATTATTTGTGGAGGGGATGAGAAATTAGATAATAGGGTTGTTAATTTATCAATATTTTTTTGCAGGGATCGAATGTTCACATGGAAAATACAAAAGTCAGACACTGATTGAGAAGAATTTAAATCAACAACTCCTACATTATTGCACGTTTCAATGTCACAGGAATAAGCTAATTGAGGGTCGTTTGCTAAAGCCATGTATGAAATGTAAGAGATATTTTCTCCAGGCTGGAAATAAATGGCCGGTATTTTTGATATATGTTTGGGTAATACATAAAATTATTTTGACTATACAATGTATGAATATTTATAATCAATAGACCTACTTGATGAGAGAAAGGTCATCTTCGTTATTGATGGGGATGGTAGTTGTCATTTCGTTCTTTTTTATTAAAACTTTTCCATTATGTGTCCATAGATATTTATATCCACATTCTTTTTTAAGATCTCTTGCTTTAAAAAATAAGTCCTTGTTATTGTCATTAAGGTTTTCTATGATGAATATTCTAGTAGATCTTGTAAAATGCTGAAAATCTTCATGAAAATTGGCCGATCTCAGTTGGCGACGATTTTTTAGAATTTGATGCCTTGTTTTTCTGCGTACAAATTTAACAATAATTGGTGAAGGCTTTTTGTTGTTTTCTTTTGACATCCGGTGACAGTTTGATATGTCAGATGATTGCAGCGGTACATTTATTCGTGCTGCTACCTTCATAATTAATTTTTCACAATCTTCATCACGCGAGTAGGGTATATTGTGAAATTCTAAATTATCCAGCCTTGACCTACGCTCCTGGTCGTATTGGCGTTCAGTAAGGATATCTATTTCTTCTTCTAGTTCTTCCACAATACTTTCAAGTTGACGAATTCTTCGGTGTTTTTAACTGTGATGGTGCTCAGTTTGTCATAATTGGCATTAAGTTCGTCAAACTTTCTGGCAATGAATTCTTGGCTTGTCTTTATTTCTCCAACCTCATCTTTAATGACATTGATCGAGGATAACTGAGTTTTCATTTGTTTTATAGATTCATCCAGAGATGATAGAGATTCCTGGATTCCAATGCTGGTCGGGTGGTTGAAGAGAGATCCAGAGCTAATTTTCAATTGCTGTTCAATTATAGCCGGTATTCCAGGCGGTGTCTTTAGAATTGTGCTCTCAAGTATGGAGACTAAATTGGATATATTGTGTTCTGTTAAGTTGGATGCTGGAAGAAGTACATGCTGCTTGACGTTCAGTTGGACTTTTACGTTTCGGGGGTTCAGGAGGGGCATCGCTTGATCTTGAATATGGCATATTGTCCTTCCTTGAATCCACAGACAGTCAGATTGATGTTGTGAACAGATGTTATAGTTCATTTGACGAATTCAACACCAGATGATTCAACATTCCATTTTTAGAGTGTCCATTATAGGCTATGATATTATTTAACACTAGTCAACTATATCTGCAAACTTAAACAGGGAATAGTGCTTAGTGTGGAATATAGTGGGAATTGCTTATGTGAACAGAACATAAAAATAAATAAGAGCCGGTGCTTGAATACCTGCCCGATGTAAAAGCTTAATTTTCAGTGGTAGAGAACAATAGGAAATAAGAAGCGCTTTTGTCACAACGCTGTCGGATTTTAAGCGCTGGTTGGTAGATAACACTCGCGCCTTAGGCGTCTAATTACATTAGGTGCGGTGCGTAAAAAAATTTAGAGAATTGCTCTTAAGACGTGAATAATTTGCGTTTGACGTGAATAAATTGACATGGGAAAGGGATTGAAGTCGTCAAATATTTGTCTTCAAAGATACCGTAATTTTTGTGTATAATTTTACTTTACAAAACAAACAAATACGTAGCTGGAATATGGCATATCAAATAAAACAAGAGAGCTACGCCCAAATATATGGACACGTCTGTTCGCAGTACAGTACGGTTACCGTACCGTCAGATCACAGTCTACAAATATAATCACACCAAGCGAAGCAGTACAGTATGACACAAAATGGCGTCCGATGCCCGCAGAACGTTTAATGACGTCATTGCAAACAAAAAAAAATCTCACAGAGCTAACAGAAATATTTAAAATGAATAAAAGTAATAGCCTTCTTAGGAAAAATTTTATCTTCAACCACTGAAAAAATCAAAGCAATTGGTCCAGTATTCGAAGAGAAAAGCGGTTTTTTCAATATTTCCACCAGGTGTGTTATCCTGTGCCAAATAACAACAAGAACAAGAACAACATAATATTGAAACGATCGTTATGTCCACTACGTGTCCAATAAAATGTTCAAACATCCCAAATCAAATATCGTGGAAGAGCTCATTATGAAAATCGTCTATAAATATAGTATGTTATTGTGACAAAAAGTAAAACATATTTATGAAAATGCGGAATTCTAGATAAAAAATTTTACTATTTACTTTTCTGAAATTAAAATAACTTTCCAATATTTTTCAGTTTTAAATTCTATTTCTCCCATTTCATGACATGTGGGTTTACTGTCCCATGATTGCTTGATCTTTGCTAAACTCACAAAATCAAAAATAATATTTTAACTTCGTCTTTTTTATTCTCGGTATCGTTTTTCGAATCTATCAAATAAACTCCAATAAGCGAAACTAGTAAGTATTTACAACCGGGATTAAAAGTTTCAATGTGAAATGTGACTGGTCAATTTCAACTATCATACCGTCGAAATCTTATTGCTTATTGGTTCTAGCTAATTAATTCTATAAAAAGGAAGTCGATCTAGAAAACAAGCTGCCGCAAAAACATATTCAATTACATACATAATATAGCAGAGATACGGCCTGTAATAAAATGTTCGATCATTCCCTAATCAAATATCGTGGCTACTTATGAATATTGTCAATAAAATAAATATTATTATATGCGACAGTGGCGGCGCGTGGTCATTCTGACCAATGGTCGGCAACCTTCTTCAAGTGACGGACCGGTAAAGCCTGACCAAAATTCTGGCGGACCACCTTAATACGAACGAACTAAGCCTATGCAGTAAATTATACGCATTAGGAAGTTATTGTTGACAATATACTAAAACCGACAGTGATGCTATTTAATGCAATATCTGTATTTCTTTGCTGGCCATTAATTAACTGTTCCTACATTGGAGATATGGTCGACACCGACACATGTAACGTGTTTCTTACATCCAACCTATTTCGTTTTTGTAGTTATCAATATTGAAAACCAGGCCTCACATTAATAAGTTTTCAGGAAAAGTAACAATGCCCGTGAACCTTCTGACTCTAGTCCGGGTATTGAATGATGTTTGTTTTGCCAAAACTAATTTTTTTACCCGATGTGCTAACTTAATGACTATCCTGATTCTGAAGTATAGAATTAGCACTGACTAGATATGATCGGTTAGCTACGAGCCAGTAGTGGAGTAGTCACGTTCTTAGCGAGAATCATTATGTTGGAGAGTTCTTATTCGGAACGATGAGAGACATTCTTATACGGGCGTAGAAGAAACAATTGACCCAGCATCATTGCGACATACTGACATGGCAATTGTTTGTGAAGTTAGACATGCTGCTCAAATGCGTTGTGTTTGTCTGGTTTGTTGTTGGAAGCTGTTTTTTAGTTGTAGGGTTTGTGGTTAGATTGTAGAGGTTTTTATTACGGCCTCCATTTTTGTGTCACCTCTCTGCGGCCCGGCAGTAACCTTTCCGCGGACCGGCGATGGGCCGCGTCCCGGTGGTTGCCGACCACTGATTTTGACAACCGGGGCAAGCTACTGCGGGACCAAGTCACCCCCATCTACGGGGACAGGATGAGCGCTGTAAGTTCTCCCATCATTTTATGAGTATAAAAACCATTCCATCGGTAACAACCAATCGGCAAAAGCGACAATTTTTAACGATAAGAAAGTCTCTAAAACCGGTCCAAGTCAAGGGATTAATAAATATAGACATAGTTTATTTTGAAACCTCTTTCAAAAGGAAAGGCAATATTTACCCAGATAAATACAATGACATATTAACAGAAACTTCGGGAAAGCAGACAAAACCTAAAATAAGGTTTAAAGCGTTACTATGAAGAAAGGAAAGTTAATGCAAAGATGAGGACATGCGTCGCTCACTCATAGATATATATGCTGCTAGACTTCTACTGCTTGAACATATACCGCCGCGGTTTCTTAGAAGCAAAATGCTCAATAACGCGCTGATTAAAGTCATGCATCCCAGAAATAACGTCTCTGTGAATGGATAAAACAGCCAAGTATTTAATCTATCTTGCTTAATTGTGTTTCTGAGATACGTTTTAATACGCTTCAGCGTGCTGAATGTTCGCTCTGCGTCGGCGGAAGAAATAGGCGTCGTCAAAATGATGTCCAGAAATTTTGCAGACGCCTCAAAGGTACCAGAGTGTTATCTATGAGGAACCCATAGATCGCGCAAGTTGATGTGATGTTCAAAAAAGTTTAATTGGTGTATATACATCGCAATTCATTTTCCAATTTACCCACGTTTATCATGGGGTAAAATTTGGAGACAGTAGCCAACAAATGGATGGGAAATTGACGTGCAAATTTTGAAAATTTTTTGGGGTTCATCAAAGAGAACGCGGCAAGGTGTTCAGAGCGCAGACGATCACCTATTTGATTCACCAGAATGTCACAGCATTCCCTTGCAGACAAAATCAAACGCTGCGTTGTTTGCCCGCGGCGTAAAGAAGCACTCCATGTGTCGTCGTATTTTATTGTTTCCCGGATACGAGATACAGCATCGCAGAAGTCTGAAATACACGACTGCACAGACGCTCCATCCATTAGCCTTGACTGCAATGCGCCGTATAATACATCCACGTGATAGAATATTGTGGAGAGAAAAAATGAAAACTCACCATCTTCTAGCAGACGCTTTAGACCTGCCGCCTCCCTCACAGAGCGTTCGTCCCAAACCGGAGAGCTCTGAATGCCATTGAAACACTCAATGAGCTCAGACCTAATTTCGGACACGCCCTGCACCACGCGTGATTGGAAGTTCCAACGTGTTGGTGCACAAGCTGGGAGACGGCGGCTACATATCTGGCGAAGGAGGTCAGAGCGCTTCGGCGAAACGGAAAAAAATGAAGAAAACCCCGAAACATTTGCAAAAAATATACGGACGAGAGGGGTATCAAGACACATATTTTTAATAACGAGGTTAAATTGGTGTGCATAACAATGTAAAAAATGCGCATGAGGAAAATCTTCTTTTATAAAACTTGAACACCATGTTTCGACCCACTCATGACTGCCGCGCCGTCATAAGTTTGAGCTATCAATTTTGACTTCGCGTTGTAAGGCTGTAACACTTCTTTCAGTACAGCCGATATCCCGCAAGCCGTGCGATCAACGATTGGTACAAAGCTGTGAAATCTCTCGGTAGGTTTACCATCTTTCACAAACCGAAAAATCACAGCCAGTTGGGAAACGCACGTGATGTCAGTTGTCTCGTCAGACTGAATCGAAAGGAACTGGCAATTCTCAATTTCCAGAGCCAAATGTTGTAAATAAATTTTATACATTGAGTCGAGCAAATCATTTTGGATATCCTTAGATGTCCCTTTCGAAACAGTTGCGGCATCAAGATGATCTCTCAATACTGTATCTAGGGATGCGGTGTATTCCACCATATCCAAAAATACCCCTCTATTAGAAGAGCCAGCCCGTTCATCGTGCCCACGGAGGGACAGCTCGTGACAACCAATGAACTTCAAAACATCTATCAATCGACCGAGAACATGGCGGTTTTTCTCGACGTTTTGGTTGTGCCGACGAATAGAAACCGCGCGTCCTTCATCCAACTGTGCTGCAATATTAACATTTCCGAATGTTCGGTATTTTACTGCATTGTCCAGATGCTCCATAGAAGATTGATGATCCCTGGCACGCTCGGAAAGATGTTTAAGATCTCTAAAACCAAATTTACACCAACGTGAGTCACGGGCGGTAGCAAAAAGTAGGCAATAAAAACAAAAAAGTGCATTTTTGTCCTCGCTGTAACACAACCATTCGTGTTTTTTATACCAAGTTTCTGCGCAGAATGTACGCCGACGCTTTCCTCCGTCATGG